ACATAAGGGTGTCCAGGGGATTAATCGTCAAATTAATCGTTATCGGCTAAAAACCACAATTCACCGTGATTAATTTTTTTGCCAATATTGCCCAACCCTAGTCAAGACACAATTAAAATCTATTAAAATTTAATATATTTAACAGATCGGCATATAACCTAATTAACTTACACATTTCAGAGTGAACACTTTTAAATGGGACTTGTGTTTCCAGTAATTTAGACCACCCAAAAAAACTTAAGAAATGAAAAATTAAACAACTGCACAAAAATATTTATTTAGTTACCTCCTTCTTGTGAAAACAAATGGTGTTGCATTCTTGGAACCTTTCAGGCGGGCCAAAGTTTGCTCGTTTCCCTCGTTTCCAGAATCGCCTCCACTGCCTGAGAAAGGCCAGACACCTTTGACTTTGGATCCACTTCCTCCCATTTTAGCGATAAGACATAATTAATCTCCAGTTGAAGCTTCCACTCTGCTGGGTAGCCAGAAACTCAACTGCTTATCAAGGCCAGGACCTGAAAAATAAACAGCCCACAAAGAAAAAGTGCATCTTATCAGACATTTGCTGACTGGTTACAGACTGTTTAATGCTGCTGGTTACAGTAAAATACTGTCCTCTGACAAATCTGAGATCAGAAACAGGCAACCCACTTGCCATCAAAGGACCAGACATTCAATTAAAACACGGGAGTAGTACCCTACCCGCCTTAATATATGTGTAATATTTTAAATTTCACAGTGAGAAAGGGGGTTACTGAGTTTAACTTGGATGCAACATGTAGCTAAATTTGGCTTGTGATTTGTGGACAGTTAACATGAAGGTGAACAAACTTTGTAATGCAAAAATGAGTGTCAACGAGCGTGGCTCGCCAATATCAACAGGAAACACAACTCGTCTTAAACGGCAAGAGTTTACTACGAGCACTTTGTAAGTTGTGAGGGGATTTTCAAGTGTATTATGACTGCAAACAACACGTGATTTATGAGGCTAGCTAGGATCATGCTATGCTGGGATCATGTGCTTTTATGAAGAACTTGATGAACCTGATTTGTTGGTTGTATCCWACCTAGATTGCAGACTTCTTGTGTGACTAGTTTCTGGTACAGTCTAACACAAAGATTAGCAATGCTAGACCTTGAGTGCTGCTATGCTGCATGTTTTATTTCTTTCCCTGCTCCAGCACACCTGATTCAGTGCAGGGTTATTATAGGTAACCAAAACTAACTAAATAACAAAATCTAAAATTGAAAAAAAAAACATTTTAGTTAACTAAAAT